TTGACTGAGCGTTCTTTGCTTTGTACTACACCCTGCTATCATGTTAGGCTATTTCCTACAATATTTTGCTGTTTCCATTCGCTTCCATGGAATTGGGCGACACCGCCCGTTTGGTTCTGCGAATTCAAATAAAAATGTACCTACATGTACATGTACCTACCTAGATGCACACCATGTACCAGGTGCCCATGCGCATTGTGTTTTGTGATGTTTTCTGTACAGTAGTACAATTATGGACATGTAGCCCATACTAGGCAGAGTGCTTTTTTTTCTCGTGGTGCCATTGACATTGTCGACTAGGGCATCGGGCATTCTGACTGTTCTGTTCCTACGGGTTTTTCCCAGGTCTTGATGATGAGACGCAGGCAGGCACAGTGGGTTGGTCTAAGACCATTATTAATCGGGAACTCGTGGCCTGGCATGAGTAAAACATGGATGTGGCAAATGGGATTTAGGCCTTTGGCCTCTGGTTGGTGGACCTGATCTATCCTCCCCCACCGTTTAGGAACCGCATCTGACGCCTGATCATGGGGTGGTGGCGTCCCACGGAAGCGGAAAGGTGGTTCTTGATCAGGGAGTTTTACGACTCCTTGTTCTAGACCTGCCCGGTACGCGAACCCGTCGAATTTCTTTTCTTTCTTCTTTCTGATGATGAGAAACCTGGGCAAATTGCGCGGGTCCTGCAGGTTGCTGAGCATTGCGCGCTTTGGTTGAGGCTCAGTAATCCGGCTCGTCCAAGATCTCCTTCGCGAGCGACTGCGCAATAAAAGTTTCAGTCTCTTCCTCAACTTTTTGGAGGAGCTCATTCACATCGCCAATATCGTTCAACAAAGGGGTTTCTTTTCTCCCAGTTCCAGATCAAATCATTTTTGACTTATTCCTCCGAGCTCCCCTCCCCACTGCAATGGCACCGAATCAACAACAACAGCAACAACAACTACAACAACAACCGCAACAACAACAACAACAACAACAACAACAACAAACAACAACAACAACAATCCTTCTCCCCTTCCCTACACTACATCAGCAAAAAGTACAACATGTCATGTGTAATAGTGATGGTCTGAGCTGCAGACTGCACAACTAGGTTATGCAGTGCATGCAGTCTCCAGTCTGGACTCTGGACTCCAGCTGAACTCTGAACTACATGAGTCATGTACATGACTTGTACAACATGTACATGTACATGTATACATACATGGACCACAAAGGCAGAAGAGAACTGAGACATTCGGCTACAAGACAACAACAAATTGTATGTAGATCTACCATGATGTACTAGCGGCAGCTACCCCCACCACCAACGTTGCAACGACAACAACAACAACACAACATCAGCAAAAAAGATAAAATTCTAAATTCAATCACCCCCGCCCCGCCCGCCCCCCCCCCCCACCCTAGAATAGAGGGTCCGAGTTAGTTTCGCCGAACTGGGGTTTTCCCAATACATGTACCATGAATACTGTTCAACTGTTCATGATCGCAAGATCGGGACTCTGCCACGCGGGTTCTGGTTGTGTAGTCAGGAGCCTCCTCGCCTTGTAACCAGGGAGTCGTAAAATACGTATTTTACGACTCCCTGCTTGTAACACTAACAACTATTACATGTCGAAATCGGAAACATGATTGTTTATACTATGATGTAGCAAGGCTGAGGCAATCCACAGGACCATCACTAGGCAACAGCGCAGCACAGAGAAAATGAGGCCGAACCTCAGCTGATACTCTGATACGTGAACTGATAGCAATGAAAAATAAAATTTCCAAAGCCTGGTAATCACGTACACATACATGTAAGTAGAAAGGAAAAGGAAAATTTCATATACATGTACATGTAGATACGAGTTGAGAGTAACTCTTCATCACTGTAACCACATATACAGTCAGAAAGTGCAACAACTAGGCACAAAACTGACAGAGTACATGTACTGAGACATTCGACGTCCTCACACCTAGCTTCAGCACATCTCCATAGCGCTAACCGACAGCCTTCCAATTTACTCGTATCTATAATAAATGTAGAGCCGAAGGATTTATAGCAATTACATACCAGTATAAAAACCGAGGTCCCCCGAGGTTTTTATAACTGGTATGTAATTGCAATAAATCCTTCGGCTACTACATTTATTATACATAATGTTGACCTTCGCTTTCCCTAAAAAGGAGTATTTTATAAACAGTATTTATTGGCCTTAGTGGTATTTTATAAACAGTATTTAGTGGCCCAAACAGTATTTATTGGCCCAAAAACCAATAAATACTGTTTATAAAATACCACTATTTAAAGGCCAATAAATACTGTTTATAAAATACTCCTTTTTAGGGAAAAGTGCAGTGCTGCATGGAAAAGTACAGTGGTATTTATTGAGTCAAGCAAGTTTATTTGAATTTGATACTGTTGATGGTGTGGTCACTAATGAGTGTGGGTATTTATCAAAGGTCAATATAATTATTTATATCTACATGTATATAACTCGTATCACATGTCAACAAACAATGGATCACTCGTAATATTTGAATATTGTTTGCCTGATGATTGCACACGGTGCATGAAACTCGGAGTACTTTATCCACTGACGATGTTGTTCAGAACAACGAAACGTCTGGAGAAGTATCGTAAAAATTTCTATCGTTATTGTTATCAAATATACCACTCTTTGGTCTAGAAAGAATACTTTTTGATAAACTCGGAGTAGCAAAATATTACGAGTGATCCATTGTTTGTTGACATGTGTCATTGCTCCCCCCAAGAAATTGGATGTTGAGCACTTTTTCTGCAGCTGCAGGCATAGTCTTACTGAGTATGTATGTGTTATTAGCCGAGTATCAGGGCAATACCGGCCGATATCTGCCCGAACGGCGTCAGCCGTGAGGGCAGATATCGTAGCCGGTATTGCCCGTACTACGAGGCTAATAATTATTAATATCGAAAAATATCGTGTGTGCAAAAACGGACGTCCGACGCGTCCGATCACAGTGCAGTCACGTCACTGAGTCAAGGAGTACAGTGCACTGCATATCGCATGCGGTAGCATGCGGTAGATCGATACTGTACATACATGTAGTCTGTACTGGTGTTCACGTCCGTGATTTACAAACGGACACTGTACTGTCTGTAGACCATGGTAGACAACATTGGGTGGTTGTTTCCTTTTTGATCTTTCGAGACGATCCAAACTAATACTTACCTGCATTGGCGCTGTCATTCACTGCTGCCCTGGATGGCTGTGGTCAGTATTCCTTGGATAAGTTTTTTTTTCCGGAAGAGAAAGGATGTTCCGATTGATGACACTCTTCAACGAACTAATACTTCAACTCGTACACGTAGAGTTCAAGGTCCTCAGAAGATGAGGGCTCCGACATCCAAGCAAAGTCAGTAATCTCTACCTGCTGCAGCATGCAGTAGTGGCTAGTTGTTCCTCCGCAGGAACGGAGTGCTGCGCCAGCGATGTGTTTTAGATGACATTGGAAGGATTGTCGACACTGTTTCACTGCTGTTGTTTCTGTCAAGTGAAGACAATGCTCCTGTGATTTATATAGCATTTCTTATCGTAAAAATGCTAAAAATTTCCGAAAGTACAAATGGACAGGGAAAGATTTAAAAGTTGTCATTTCGGCATTCCTGGCTCTCAACGCAACGATGCCGCCATGGCTTGTATATTCGATCTTTACAAGAAATAATGAAAGGGTCTTCAATCCCTCGCTGAACCTGTGTGCCAGTCGATTGCACACATGTAGATTATTATTATTATTTTTTTCTTCTTATTTTGTTAGGGATTTCCCAACAGGCAATGTTGCCTTTGATGATTATGTGTTCGTCACGGTACAATGTAGGGTAAGCAGCAAGCCTTTAGCCCTGTACAGGTTTTCCATCGTCCACCACTGCACTCCGTCCACACCACAACTGCGCTCTCCAGCGATGGTGGTGTGCTGTGGTAACGTGTCCAGGCCGGCTGCAGAGCGCAGTTGTGGTGTGGTCGATGATGGAAGAATATGTGTCCGTAATGTGTTTTAAAAAAAAGCATGCGATTCCCAACTAACACAATCGGATTGTCGTACAACCGCACAACTTCAATACTTGTACAATCTGATTCCTACTATTTTGGCTGTTCAATTTTGGTTCAACCGGAACCCCCCTGTAGAGATCTCTGGATCCGCCCCTGGCCCTGACCTGTGTATATTGTACATGATAATTCTGCATCAGTACATGATTTGCAGTTCTGCAGCCTGAAGTCAGGCCACAAGGAAGAATTATTTTGACACTTCAGAGTTCAGTGTCGAAGACACGGTGAATCTAGGCGGTACGGTCCGATCGGGGATAGATCATGAAGCCAACATACCGTATTATCTCTAATATAAGCACAGTCTCCAATAATAGCACGTCTCCAATAATAGAACACCTTGGGGCGGCATTCAAAAAATAAAGTGCTCAGTCTCCATTATGAGCACACTGAGTCATTATCAGTACCGGCGAAAAAAACCCTGAAATGTGTGTGTCATACATGAATTTGGCATGGTAACATTCCTCTGAAATGAGGTTGAAATAATAATGGAACAGTCTCCAATAAAGGAACGTCTCCATTAATAGCACGGGGCGGAGGTACATTGAAAAAATAAAGGACCGTGCTTATATTCAGAGAGATAATAGTATTAATACGGTACTACTAGTACTGAGTACTTGTAGTAGTAACAATTCATACTGTGCGCTGGTAAAAATGGTAGTCGACCATGGACGACTGTGTGGAGATCTACTACAGCCTGGAGACACTACAACAGGTATCGATCATGCATGTGCTTGTAAGTAGTTGTAGTATGTAGCAAACATTGAAACAAGAAAACGTGCCACGTAAAATCTTTGACTCTGCTGCCTGGAGTATGAATGCTGCAGTGCTAGTGCTGACAGTGAGCCGTGCTTTGCATCATGCATGATGTAGATCTACAGAGTTGTACTTGTACTTGTAGGCCTAGGCCATCACCGAATGATTGCTCAGATGCTTTAGCAGATTCAGACCGGCAGTCCCGAAGCGTAGATCTACAATTTGATTGTAGTCTACATACTCCTGCGAGCTGCACGAACGCTTGTTGCAATGTTGGAAGCATGGCGCGCGTGCGGCTTGTGTATGTGCCCCAGTATTACTAATACTACCGGTATGTACTAGTGCCGTAGTGGGCTTGTTTTCGAGAATCATGATCGATTTGCAACCTTTTCAAGGCTTTTGTTTGTAATCACTTCGCGACCCAAACAAGAAGAAGAGTGTTTCTGGTTGAGGCGCCAGAGACTGTTGTCGACACTACGACGACGCGGTATGAATGTGTGCATGTTGTGAAGTCCAATGCTAGATGTGTGTCGCACCCACTGGTGTGTAGCGTTTCTCGCGCGTTGACGAACTGGCTCCGTCAGCTGCTGCCGCGGGAAGCGGACGTGGACACCAATCAGCTGCGCATAGATGTTATTTCAGATCAGGAAAGTGAGTTACTTGGTGAAAGCGCAGTTGGGTTCTTGTCGATCGCTGTAACCATTTGCTGCGAGCCCCTCGGGCCTGTTGGATCTGTGGGGCTTGCGTGAGAGACAGGCGATCTTTTTTTTAAGCCCAGTAGGGGCACAACGGTATGGGAAAAGTTCCATTGAAAGTCTGGATTATTTCGTCTCTGTTGCTGATCGGAGGGGCGCTGTGTGCCCGTCTCTACTTCTCGTCAAACGATGCAGCAGCTCTGCGCTTCAGTCCCTCACCTCGCGCAGCTCGCCGTCCAGCAGTCGTGGCTCGGACAGGGCAGCGCAGACCTGCGGAATATACGCCAGAGCGCCAAAAGGGCGGCATTCAGCTGCAGGACCGAGTCTCCGACCAAGCGGCACGAGTACGAGCGGGAGGCGTAGTACGGGGCAACGGCGGCGGCGCTGGCCTACCTGTGCTGAAGCAGCAGCTGCCCAACACGATCCTGATCGGCGTGAAGAAAGGTGGCACCCGTGCCCTGATCGAGATGCTGGCACTGCACCCGAACGTCAGATCCTCCGGTCAGGAGGTGCACTTCTTCGACCGGGATTACAACTACGAGAACGGCCTGGAGTGGTACAAGTCGCGCATGAAGCCGTCCTTGCCGGGCGACATCGTGATCGAGAAATCGCCGGCGTACTTCGTCGTGCAGGAGGTGCCGGAGCGTATGCGTGCCGATCTCGGCGATAAAATCAAGCTACTGCTGGTGCTGCGTGACCCGGTCAGCCGTGTGGTGTCCGATTTCATGCAGGGACAGCATCACCAGATGGGCAAGATGGTGCGTGTCGCCGATCTCACGCCGTCACAGCTGGCCGCCATGCAGCGGCGGCTCGAGGCCAAGGTGCTGAAGGCGGACGGCGCCGTCAACCCGAGCGCCAGCTTCATCAAGGTGGGCCTGTACGCGCAGCACCTGGAGCGCTGGCTGCATCACTTCGCGCGCCAGCAGATCTTCATCACCAGCACGAACACGCTGGTCACGGACCCCGCGGCAGTGCTGAAGCAGGCGTCCGCTTTCCTGGGCTTGTCGCCGTTCAACTGGGACAAGCACATCGTGCGCGTACCCGGCGTGAAGCTGCCGTGTCTGAGTCGCGTCAAGGAGAGCACAGGCCGGCCGGAGCTGGTCTGCCTGAACGCCACCAAGGGACGCGAGCACATCCCCCTGCCCGACGCGCTGCGACGCAAGCTGGCCGACTTCTTCCGCCCGCAGAACGCGCTCCTGTTCTCACTCATAGGCAAGACGTTTGATTCGTGGCGCCATGACGACGACCAGCAGCAGGTTGCCGGGGGCATGCCCGAGCAGCTTGACGTTCAGCTCAAAGCCACTGATCTGTCCTCGCCGCCGCAGCCGCAGCAGCAGCAGTGGAATCCAGAGCAGGCAAAACAAGGGAAGCGGAAAACGCCAGCTGCACTCACACCCGTAGACCAGGAGCAGAATGAACAAGACCCGCTGTGGTAGCCATTGTGGTAGGTCTGCGTAGGCGTCGTTTTGGGTACGGAAGTGTGATGCATTCGGGAGAGAGAGATAGAGAAGAAGGGAAGAGTGTGTGCGTGTGCGCACATGCATGTGTGTGTGTGTGTGTTGTGTGTGTCACGTGTGTGTGTGTATCCGGCACCCAATCGGCGTGTAGCATGTGTTGACTGGTCACTAGAGGCTTCGATCGGAACTTTCTTCCCTTGACGGCCAGGGAGTGATACCACCAGGTTCCCGTATTGTTGATCTAATACGCACGCGCATACATGCCGTTGGCCAGCGGCCACGGACAAATCACTAAGACTGCTGTCGGTCTGTGACTTGCAGTACAATGGTCACCATCTTGAGAAAAAAATGGTCATAATTAATCAGACCCCGAACTTACTTTGATTTGAGTTCCTTTTTTCAGTTTTCACAAAGATAGTTTTAAATAATGAGTGCATGTTCGCACTATCACTCTATGTGTGCTGGTGTGTTGAAATGATCCCAGATGAGCGCAGCACAGCCTTGATACATTCTGAGCAGCCCTATTTGAGGTCACTCCTGACATGCAGATTTGCAGCACGCCGCTACTTTTTCCACGGTCGTTCGCGGCCGAGCTTGGGCGATAACGTCCTGAGTTTGACCAGTGTTTCACTTGGTCGCTTGTGCAAACATCCATCAATGCGGCGGTGCATGCATTTTTGTCTTTATTCTTGTTCACTTTTCTCGGTGTGATTATTTTGGACGTGTCCGGCACAGCACATTAACCTGAACGTCCTCCGCTGAGTCTCTGACATTGAGCACTCTCTGCAGCTCGGGGATCAACGGATTCGTTAATATAATTATTAGGTATAACTACTATAACTCGGATGGTGTCCTTCTTCTTTTCACAATTATAACTACTATATGCTAGTATTATGGTTTGAACTCCGGTGCGATGGCAGTGCGAAGATGCGCATGTGTGTGTGTACGTGTGTGTGTGTGTACGTGTGTGTGTGTGCGCTTGTGTGTGTGTGTGTGTGTGGTGGTGGGCATTTCTCGATCTGGTACAGCGCAGACGCTGTGTAAACTGTTGATCGGCGCTTTGTATAAAAGCTGTCCCCGGGAAATGTCGCGATTCCACGGATGCAATTAATTATTTCCCCCCGATTTCTGGAGTTTTAGTTGCATGGAAGCATAGAAAGTGTATGTGTGTATGTGCGTGTGTGCAATTTTGCCGCAAATTCACCGCAAATACCTCAGATTTTCTTCCGCGGTTTCTCCAGGGGACAGATCGATGCTGTACATGACACCTGGATTAGTGTACGAATCTGTTGCAGGCTTTGCTGCTTTTCACGGCGGAATTATGCATGCCCACATGTCCTACAAGGCTACATGCATGCCTTCAGAATTCATGGGGACAGATACCAGTACATGGAGAGGCTTTACTCCGCAGAATAAAATGTGTCAGAAATCTGTACGATACTGTACACAGGCCGGCGTACATGTTATCTCTACAAACACATGATTCCGATGCTTGGCATGGACATGCATGCATGGTCAGGCGTTGTCTTTGCCGGGTTTCTGTTTCATACAGTGAATCGGTCTATTGCCATGATGCATGGGATGGTCTTGATCCTGCGCCCTGCGGGTACACTGCCGCAAGGCCTTTATGCTAGGGCTGCAACGGGTAGGGGTTTGGTCGGGTACCGAGTTTTGGGTATTTCTGTCGGGTATCTTGTTTTACATAGTCTGTACAGGGAGTGTGCACTTGCGCTGCAATAGAAAGTGCACAGTAAGCAGTGCTAAGCGCATAGCCGTACCGTTGCAAAACACCGTACTCCCACGCTCGATAGGATTCTCAGGATCAAACTGCTAATTTCGGGTAGCACGGGTACCCTACTACCCGTTGACATCTCTACTTTATGCACACTCAAACACACACGCACACACCTTCTTCACGCCACAGCTGGAGCCATGGCAACTTGTGCCGGGATTGCACCAATCAACAGTTTGCAAGGCTGAAGAATTGACCGCCACTGTTCAGCCTGGTCTACATCGTATAGCTATTCGAAGTGGCTTGTTTTGTGGCCAGTGAATCCCCCCCCCCCCACACACACACACCATGTACCACACACACATACAAAGACACACACACACATGTACGCGAGGACACACAGAGGATCAAATACAGTCTGAATGAGTGAACCGAGTGCGTGACAAAATTAAAAAAGGATAATGATAATTATTATAAAGAATCAAAAATTCGCATAGGCTAGCAGAATGTTACTTGAACATAGCACAGAAAACACAAGACATAACAAGAGATAGGGTGTTCAAGGCACTCCTAAAAACACAGCAGCCCTCCTTAGCTGTGAACTGCTTGCATGACACGACGCAACAACAGAAACGACGTAACAACACAGTAACAAAACAAGCCAGTGAAAACTTCCCAAACGATCGGTGCAGTAAAAGTGAGTGTTGTACTAAAAACAGATATATACAGACTGTGACCATTCAGACTCCTTTTTTTTGTCTTTCTCAACGCAAGCTATCGGCTTAGGAGGATTAGACCCACCTGGGCAGTGCTAGGATAAAGACAATGCTCCCGTAGCTGGTTGTGTGCTTGTGTGTGTGTTGCTGCTGCTGCTAATGGTGTAGACGCCGCTGTGGCACAAGTTACCTCACTGTCATACATATATTATTATGTACATAACACGCTTTTAATTCGACAGCATATTACAAGGTGGTTAAAAGCGTGTTTCTACAATACAGTGTGCAAGGTTTATCTAATGTCATATTATGTACATGTCGCTAGCAAGCCAGAGGAAAGTTAGCAGGGCAGCAGCGGCAAGCGCTAGACGTGACCGGACCACGCGACTGGGACAGGTGAAGCGGACACACACGAGAACGCGTGCACACGCAAGGACGCTGTGCAGACGCCTCTGTATCGCAGGGCCAGCAGAGCTAACAACACGACTACATTATGTACACCGCTAATGGTGGGGTGAATGGAAGTAAAGAGTGCAAGAAAGAGAATTGAAGTCTAGGCTGGTGCTGGCGGGGTGATAACCATGGCAAATTGGCAATATCTCAAAAGTATCATGCCGCCGAGCGATGCGTGCCAGATGCACGCACGCACACACACACGCACACACACGAACACACACACACACATACACACGGAGAAAGAGTGCTTGCTGCGCTCACCACCCGCAGGCGGGTCGCACCGTCCCGCATGCAACACCCACCCACACACAGACCCCCCCACACAGACCCTTGTCGAGATCGGGCAGCTCGGCTGGTCAAGCACGAGAGCCGTGCTGGACATTTGCCATGTTGCAACTACCACAACGCTCGCCTAAATACACCACATCGTCGGCACGGGGCACCTCCATTCTCCGCTGGAGTGCCATGCGATGCAAGAACTTGAATGGGACCAATAAATCAGCACTGGAGCGCCATGCGATGTAAGAGACCTTGAACAGGACCAATATATCAGCATTGGAGTGGAAGAGAGCTTGAATACTACATAGGGCGACTGCATCAGTAGTAGCGGCGCGGTGAGTAAGAACGCTGACGGGGAGGACTGCGCGAGTAGCCGTGCGATGCGTACGCCGGCGACATGGGGTGCCGAGGCGGAGTGCGTGCGTAGCGGGGTGGCGAGCGTACATAGCGGGGCGGAGATCGCACATAGCGCGGCGGCATGGGTGGCGGCATGCGTCGAGGTGAGTAGGAGCGGTGCCTGTAGCGCGGCGGACTGGCGTACACCCTGCAGGACCAGCAGCAGCAGCACCCAATAAACACATACTCTAATTTCAGAAATTTTCGGTGCTCAATATTTTCGGTACGAAGGCAAAAGGCCAGGTTAGGTGAACAGAAAGTTTAGGTACAGAGAAGCAGTCCCCTATTGGATTATGCGTGTTAGTGTTTGTTCGGTGTACAGTATTGAAATTTTAGGTATGAGACAGAATCACCGAAAGTACCGAAAATAAAAGTACAACGAAAATTTGTGAAATTACAGTACACATAAACACGAACTGAGACGTTGCGACTTCGGCGCCGACGGGACGTATGCATTAATTTCCCGCCATCAGATTTTGTGGGGCGAGTCCACTACGACCGCGCACACCTTGACATCAACTCTGCATAAAAGGTCACGAGCTTTGTGAGGTCATACTCATAAATGCACTATAACGGGTTGTACCTGCCCAATATGTAGGGTAACTTGCCCCGCAAAAAGGGTGACGACCATCTTAGATGCATACCACCCATTGTAGAAGAAGGTGGCTGCTCCAAATGTCTGCCTGCTTCAAGTGTCAGTCAGTCGGCAGGAAGCGCAAGCTGCAACGTTTAGAGCAGCCACCTTCTTCCACATAAACACGATTTTTAGAAGAAGAAAAAAAAGATTCTAATACGAAATAGTGGTTGCGACTTCGGCGATGATTTGTTTAAAAAAAGGTGTCAAGTCAAGTCGGCGGGATGGCGCGAGCTCCGGTGCGGGGAGCAAACCCTTTTCAAAGATTCTAATACTTGAACTTTGAATAGTCAGAGGTTCATGCATTGTAAATGCATTCACTGCAGGGGTCGATTTTCAAGCTACTCTTGGCTAGAGAAGGAGAAAAGAAAGAACTTCGAATTGACAGTATAGCAATTCGATCTCACTTCGAGATAAGCGCTCAACGGAAATAGTCGCTTTACTGTGAGTTACTCTTCCGTACGATGACAGATTTCGAATTATCCAGCGGGCGCACTTTCCGTACTTCAAATTACACATTCGAATTTGACTTGAGCTAATTTGCAGATCACTACGATGGAAAATTTCGAATTGCACGGAATGTTCGAATCATAGCACAAACATTTTTTTTTCATTTCTCCTGGGATTCGAACCCGCACTATCGCCGTGCATGCATACACTTGCATACACTTCGCATACATACTAATTCTTCCAAGTTGCTTCACGTTGTAATCTTGCATTTGAAAGCCCTTTTAGAATATTGTGGCCAGCCGTCTTCGATGGTACGGTACGGGACAGGTACGGTCGAGGGTAATACGACACCGTCTACCACCTTGATGACCTAGGCAAAAAAGCATAGGGATGTTATAAAATTTTCAAATTCTCCTATTTTTTTCATGGCACAACCTGGGATTGGACCCGCACAATCGCCCTACATGCATTACCCGATACACTTCACATTCATACTCATTCTTCCAAGTTGCTTCACGTTATGATCTTGCATTTGAAAGCCCTATTTGAATATTGTGGCCAGCTGTCTTTGATGGTACGGTACGGGACAGATACGGGATAGCGCCAGACGGAGGTCCGACCGCCTCAAACAAACAAATAAACACCAAATTAAAGCTGTGTGGACCCTGGCTAGCGCCAGACGTTACTTCGTCTTCTGCATAGCTACGGGAATAAAACCGAGTCGTAAAAGCTCCCCACGGCCAGGTGAAGTAGCACACTGTGGGGAAGGGAGGTGGCACAGGTCAGGGTGTGTCACGTTGCTCATGCTGCTCTTGAAACAAATGTGTCGAGGTCGAAAAGAATGGGACCGTAAAAGGGACCGTGGTGTATATTCGGAAACTTCTGCCGAGAAGAAAAAAATTGCAGGAGATCTTTCTGGGGTACCCTTTAGTCCCCTTTAGGCAAGTGGGGATTTCCCCATTACCGTATTTCCTCGATTAATAGACCCGGTCTTTGTTCTTTGAAGAGGGTTGGACCCGTCTCTTATTTGGGCATGGTCCATTATTTGAGCACGGTCCACTATATTTTCATCGGCACATCGCTGGAAATGGTGGATTTTTAACACGTCATAATATAGAAGTTCTATATTATGACGTGTTAAAAATCCACCATTTCCAGCGATGTGCCGATAAAAATATAGTGGACCGTGCTCAAATAATGAAAGAAAGAACTAGCCTCTACAAAATTTGTAGTTGCGCAACCTAAAATCGCGTCCTTTTTTGATCCACCACGTGCTTTCTTAGTGCGCATGCGCAAAGCGATGAACTCAAATAAGAGACCGGGTCTCTTATTCGGGCATGGTCTACTATTTTTCCGTGAGGCCTGTAGGAGGGTCTACTATTTGAGCATGGTCCATTAATCGAGGAAATACGGTACATACTTTTAAAAAATCCACCTCCACTACTTATAATACTGCATTCTGCCACTCCTTCTAGTTCACATTATTGAGAATCATGGTTGATAGCTCGTCTGCCTGAATTCGATGTCACGTTTCTTTCTGTAGTATTTTCCTTTGTCTTTTCTCCCTTGCGTCGTTGCGAGTTGGGTGCGTTGTTTTCCAGTACAGTCAGACCTCGCTTATCCGGTCTCTTTTATCCGGCTCCCTCGCCATCCAGAAGAAAATAGCTGGTTACAGATTTGCAGCATACGCAGTGCATCCACATGACCGGTGTTCGGTTATCCGGCTCCCTCGCTCATCCGGATATTTTTGCGGAAAACGGATGTGTGTCTGCCTGTACCGTATTTCCCCGATTGTCAGTCACACTCGATTATAAGTCGCATCCACTTCTTCAGGTTTGAGCAATACGGTTTCGACATATTCACTTCAGTAGTAAGTCACGCTCGATTGTAAGTCGCACTCCCTTTTTCGCCCTTGAATTTTTAGCGTAAAAAAGGTGCCACTTTAATATATTCGGGGAAATGCGGTGTATGAAAACAACACACAGCAATGAACTTTACCTTCTACGCTCTGGACTGTATCGAGACGACTCGCGATGCCTCCGGCTGTCGTGAACCTCGTCGCCATAGCTACCGCGGCGATACTCGTCACGCCGATAGCCTTCCCGGCGTCGCTCCCAGCTCTGTTCACGGTGGTGGTACCGATCTCTATCGTCGTCACGGCCGTTCCGTTCTCCGCGGGATCTTTCCCGCCTCCGCTCCGCTGCTTCACCTGCATGCAAATCACAGCCCAGAGAATTTCAGAGAAACCAACAACACAGTGGTAAGGGCCGTGGGTACTTTGAAAAGAACAAATTATAGACACACAGATAAGCCCCCCTCCCACACACACACACAGATAAGCCCCCCTCCCACACACACACACAGATAAGCCCCCCCCCCCCCCCCCCCCCACACACACACAGATAAGCCCCCCCCCCCCCACACACACGTGTACTTGCTCACTGCCAAAACTGGACATGTGGGTCTCACGGGAGAGGGGAGATAGACTCAAAAGGAACGCGTACACACACACACACAAATGTGCCCACAGGCAACCACATACACTGTTCATGGACTGTGTCAACAATGTCAACAGCATGGATTACAACGTACGCTTGGCGAGGTAACCCCTGTCAAACTGTGGCCGATCAAACTGAGCCATTTTCACCTCGATCTGTCTCCCACCAAGTTCCTGCAACACAAACACGTGCACACAGGCGACAAGATGAGAAACAACGTTCACAAGCTACCACACCCACCACACACGCACACACACACACCTGACGGGATGTACTACCATGCGTCTATTGTCACCCAGCATTTCACTGATAGATCGAAGACTGGTAGTCTAGGAGGCTGTGTTCGGCCAATCATATACACCATCTGCTATTGAAGTACGGTGACAAACTCAGGCATAGTGAGGAACACATTTCCACTATTAAAGTACATATGTGCCCAAAGATGAACAACACAACCGCAGCACTTCACCTGAGGACAATTCCGGATTGCCCTGGTCACTACTGGAGAAGTGAAGTGCGTGAAGAAACTAGGTCCAGGGGTGAAACAGTCATGGTGATTACTCGTCACTTACTCGTTACTCAGTAGAGAGGTTCTGCTAAACGAAAATGTGTACGAACTTTCGCTCTACGTCACGAAGTGAGAAACTTCGCACGAACTTTCGCAACTTTGGACGCGAAACTTGCAGGGAACGCGAAATGAACTTTCGTAGGAAGTTTCGTGAGATTGCGTCATGTCGTACGTGCACTTGGCGCGTGCAAACTACGAAAATGTGCAGAACACAAAGTTGGTGCGAAAATTCGTACACACTTTCGCAAGGCCTGTCGCGAAACTTCGTTCGAACTTTCGTTGTGCAGAACCTCTCTAGTACTCACTAAGGCTGTGTTTACATAAGAATTTTCAACCCGGGTCGAGTTCAACCTGGGTTGAAACGCTGTACGATGTAAAGAAATAGGTGGGTGTTTATATGAAGACAGGTAACCCGGGTCAATTACTGACATGCCGCCAAAAGTCCACTTCTAGAGTCCTGTATGGTCACGTGAATGCTTTCGCGCGAAATTGCCTGTGCAATGCTGTTCAGACCTGGCTCGAGATACGCAAAGAAGTACGGTAGTACGATTTCCCGATTTCAAAACGGGTCAAGCGCAATGCGTCATGTAAATGCGCCAGCCAATCTGTTTCCACGGCGGGTTGAAAACTTGACCCGGGTGGAAACGCCTAATGCAAACACAGCCTAACGGTTGCCAAATGCACATACTTCTTCTACGCACATAGTTCAGGTTTCAGCTTAGCAATATACCCCCAGAAGAGCCAGGCGAGTTCTTTTTCAGATATTGAAGTGCAAGTGGCATTAAATGGCATGGAGCTGAGCCACAGCTGTGTAGGAGTAAGAAGACCTGCCTGAAAGGCGAGTGTACATACTGCACCACTAAAGTAATGCATTCCATGAACTTTGCGGCGACAGCAATCTAGGTCGCCTGCTCAATCCGGCTTCTGTATACTAGTAGCACTAGTACATGTTCTGAACCCACATGTACAGTGCGGCTCAATGAAATCCGATGGCGTGAATCAAGCTTGCGCCCTGCACCAGTGAACGTTCCAGTGTTCACAGGTCTAGGGCTGCACAGGCTGACAGCATCCGCCGTGTGACATTGACTGTCCTGATCGGACTTCACCGAGCAGCACCGTGCAGTAGAGTCACGCGTCCAGGAATGTTGTTTCCAGGGGGTTGGCCGTGTCTCAGCAGACTACTTTGCTAAGATCAAAGAAATTGTTGGTGACTGAACGCTAACCTCTCCAGCACACAGCCACGCGGGATGGAAGTAACCGGTTTTTAATTTGACAGCATATTAGGCCACACGTTTTTATTTCTATGTTTCTCGACACCTGAAAATCTAAAAACGTATGCGAGAGGTGGAAAAAAATAAAAAATGACCGAAAAATAAAAAAAGTTTATTAGACCTTTGTTCACACTAAAATCCACCAATACACCATGCAAAATAGCATCCATAGTTAGCAACTAGTCTGTGGTAGGAGCTTCTGTCACAATCTGTGCATGTGCAGCTAGATTGCGCACAAAAAATGGCGACCTCGCATCATGTGTCGCGCAGGCCAGGCCACATTATGTACATGTGCATGAGTGTGCTGGTCCCCACATGCACAGTCAGTGCAGCACATTTTTTTTCTTTTTTTCCTCCAGACTCCTGAATCGTATGCGCGCGGGTGACGAGAAACATAGACGTGTGGCCTTACAAGGTGGTGGAACATCGTGTTCGGAAACAGTGCCCCCTACTACAGCCATCTACGGTTGACAGAGCCCCGGTGTTGGGACCATCTGAACTGTATGTGTGTTAGACCCGGTTCTGACCCGTGAATGGTTGTAGCCAGGGGCACCGTTTCCGAACACGGTGTTCCACCACCTTGTAATATGCTCTCAAACTAAAGCGTGTTTCTACAATACAAGGTTTATCTAATACAGTGGAGTCGCGCGCTGAAGAATGTGGAGCCCAAGAACGTCCAGCCTGAAGTTAAGAACGGCGGTGTTGGATTTCTGGCAGCTTGTGGGATACTTTGAAGTACATACGATCAAGTACGGATTATTTCTAAGAACGTGAGGAACGCAGCCAGATTTCTGAAAAATAAGAACGTCCCAGGCTTACACCTTGGAAACAACGTTCTTGAGTGCGCGACTCTACAGTAAGTAACTGGCTGTGTGTGTGTGTGTGTGTGTACGTGTGTGTGTATGTGTGTGTGTGTGTGCGTGTGTGTTTTCCTGCATGTGTGAGCACAGCCATACAGAACCACACAGACGAGTCAAGCACAGTATAAAACTAATCCGGTTGGTACTACAATACTTGATAGGAAGTATGCAGTCAAATTATTGCAGCCAGGCAAGCTACTAGAAGTAGTACCATACAGTGCTGTTCAATGAAATCCGATCCAGTCACTCAAGTTTACGCCCTGCGCCAGTGTTCGCAGGTCTAGGGCCGCACAGCACCCAGCATGACATCCAATCATGGGATAGGACTTCATTGACCAGCACTGTAGTATCGGCGAGTAAAGCGCAACTAGACTTGGCAGGCCATTGTATAATAATTATATAGTGCATACACACACTTAGCTTCTCTGCACTGCAAGATCATGAGTTGCATGCCTGACAATGACAGCTTGCCACAAGGTGGAGGGCACTTGTGACAAGCTGTCATAGTCACTGATACAATCATATACTCAGAAGCAAGGCAAAAAAAGCATGAGTATTTGAACGTCGAGCCTGATAATAATCAGAGGCTGAAGCTCAGAATGCCATTCAAAACGTAGCCGTCACACTCGAAGAGCGAGCCAGCCCGAAAAGGCGTTCTTGAAACACCAAGCATAGCAATATGGCACTGCTTAATGCCATTGCATTCATCAGTAATCTACTACATGTAGTACAGTGGAGTCGCGCGCTGAAGAACGTGGAGCCCAAGAACGTCCAGCCTGAAATACTAAGAACGGCGGTGTTGGTTTTCTGGCAGCTTGTGGGATACATACGATCCAGTACGGATTGTTTCTAAGAACGTGCTAAAAGAACGCAGCCAGATTGCTGAGAAATAAGAACGTCCCAGGCTAACCCGTTGGAAACAACGTTCTTGGGCACGCGACTCTACTGGAGTGGAGGAGTTTTAACTCCAGCACTACAAGTAGATTACAGATACTAGTACAGACAGGAATGTTAGATAAGTTTGTACAAAACCTGGCAGCTCGACCAGCTATACTCAGTCCCTGGCTGTTACACAGTGAAGTCTGTACGAGAAAGGGCCAATCCCCCCACAGAGGAGAGAGAGAGAGGGAGAAAGAATTCAGCTGAGCTACACAACACAGCACACACAGGCAGTGAATCGGGAACGCACAAGTTGTTTTTACGCATGGCAAAATGAGACTTTCAGCACATCCAGTACTGTTGTTTTAGAGCTACATACGTGAAAACATTGTTTGCATGCGCATGCTGAGATTTGCAACAAACCCCATCTGCAGACAAGTGGACATGGCTACCAGCGCACATGCCTGGGTACTGCTGGACCTTGAACTGTAGCAACGTTGGAACATGGGTGACCGGACTACAACACACACACTCTCTCTCTCTCCCACACACACACAATGCGCGCCAAGGGAACACCTTTTCAACATAGTAAGCCGCAGGACAAGAGGCCACAAACAAACCGGTTACGGCTCTCCAGAAATGCTGTGTAGCTGTGATTGTGATGCACTGACGGAGTCAGGGAGAATCTCTAACGGACTGCGTGCATATGTGTTTATGCTGTTGTTTTTATCAATGTTGTCGTTGTCGCTGCCGTTTATTGTTGTTGTTTTACTCCAACTCAATCGGCATGGGTGTGTGGTTGGAGTGATATCACGAGACGTACATACACACATTATGTGTGTACGGTACATAGACACATTATGTGTGTACGGTACATAGAAGCCTTGCTTGATACTTAAACAATGTTTTCGATTTCGACAGCATGATACAAGGCGAGGACGCACAGTGCTCCTGGCTACAACCATAACCCGGTTGTTGGCAGAGTCACGGTTTGAACCGTACGGCCGCAAGACCCGAACTCTGCCAACCGGGTTACGGTCGTAGTCAGGAGCACTGTGAGTCCTCGCCTTGTGTAACATGCTGTCGAAATCGAAAATTACGTGTGTAACTAGTGTATATACGTCGCGTGATATCAGACATATGATCCTCGGGCTACCTAGCACAGTACAGGTCTGCTCTCGATATAACAACTCTCACTTGTACATAAACCTCGTTAGTACATAAAAAAGTCAAATCCCGCGCCGAAACAGCATCACTCCCATACAAATGTTGTTCTACACAACATAATTCTACATAACATAAACCTCGACATAACACACGCTACAGCGGTCCCCGACGTGCGCACTCTCGATACAACATAAATTCACGTGCACGGTATGATCAAGCGGTAGCTGTAGCTAGGCAGTTTAGGCCAGTTTAGTCCTACATAACGTAAACCTCGGCATAACGCACCCTACGGCGCAGTCCCTGACGTGTACACTCTCGATACAACGTAGATTCACGTGCGCGGCACAATCAAGCTGTAGCCGTAGCTAGCCAGTTTAGTCCTATGTGCATTATATTCTGCGGCATTGATGGTATCTGATGTCGATGGTGGTACAGTGTGTATATGTTTGCACGGTTGAACCCGCCTTGTAATACCCTTCATTTTGAGGTGCATCTTGTATTTTACACACGGTTTTCTACATAAGATAACTCTCGATATAACATAATGTTTGCGTGGTCCCAGAGATTACGTTATATGGAGAGTAGACCTGTACTCAGTACTACAGTAGGTCGACTTACCAATACCACAGCATACTGTGCACTGCATTCTTTGACCAACATTAGGAACATACAACGTAGGTTTGACTCGTACATTTCTATACCCAGAACACTGTTCCAGGATTTTTAGAGGCCAATTTTTTTCCTCGACAGTTCACCCAAAGTACGTACATGTACTACACTCAAGAAAGATATAATTTTTTTCCACGGCTGGAAGCCTCACAACTGCCGCAAAGATGGCGACCTTCTAGAACACGTCTCCAAACTCTGGGGCAGCGTGGTAGTGGTGACGATTTGAGGAAAAAAATGGGTCTCGCTTAGTGTGGCTGTCACAGAACTTCTTACTGCATCAGCACACCCGAGTAGGACGAGAACAGCAAACCAGCTAGCACCAGCAGCAGCGCCCTGCGTCTCGACCGGCGTACTGCGCTCCCTCGCTCTGTATGTGCGTGTCTCTCTTTCTCTGTCTCCCTCTCCCTCTCTCCAACATTGGTCCCCAGCTATACGAGACACAGATCAGCAACATTACTCACAGTCCCAGTCAAATGTTCAATGGCAGCATCCGCATCATCCTGAGAGAAGTAGCGCACGAAAGCGAAGCCACGCGCCCTACGCTTATCCTTCTCTCGCGGTATATAGAGGTCTCCAATTCGACCGTACTTCTCGAACATCGGCTTCAAGTCGGAGAGAGTGGTCTCGAATGGGATGTTGTCCACTTTGAGACTGACCATTCCTTCTAGCCGCGGCGGGCCATCGGGATTCACTCCGTAATCCGCCATCGAAAGGAAAGAAAGCAAGGACAGCACCACAACTCCTCTGCTCTATCTCTCCAACAACAGACCAGCGGCCTCTTTCTCCAACACTGCAGACTGGCAACAGGCAACACAATAATAGTAACACAACACTTTCCAAGAACAGAACAGTATGACTATGATTGTGTGAGATTCTGATCGCGAACAGCTAGCTACATTATACATGTACATAATCTGGATGAAGCCACAAAAATCAAAAAATTAATCATTAATAATTATTTCAAGCCATTCTATCGATCTCCATGGGTACTGAATGCGTAGACGTCATCGCGTCATGTTGTACGAAAAATGCGAAGAGGGAAGATTTGAAAATCCAAAACATGCAAAAGGGAAGCTCCATCGGCCACCATGCACCAGCTGAAAATCCCAAACGTGGATCTTGTTCGACCTTTTCTTTAGTCGTTAGTGAGTCTGCACTCCCGGCGCTCAACGGCATGGCTGCTTCTTCTTTTGAGAAGTTCACAACGCAGTACACTCAGCGAATCGACAAGCTGATTCGATGTTCTCAGCTCCTTGGAGTGGGTAAGACGATTTCGTTTTGTGGCGTGTTGTATTTCTCCACAACTATCATGAACCAATATCATACCGGTAGTACACTCTACGTTACACATTCCCATGCCTACATTGTGGGTGCTTCCTTTCCATCTGCTGTTCAATGAATCAAGAACATAAATCTGGTTTCCAGCTTGTAAAAATAAAATGTACTAAAATCTGTGTTTTTTTTCCTCTACGCTGTTGGCATTGCAGAGAATTGCACAAGCTCCCTTCAGCTGCTGGCTGACATCAATGAAGAAGTGACGCAGTTAGAGGAACTCGCTACCAGTCAGAGGGAAGCACTAGAACGGGATCGCAGCATGCTCAATGATATGAAGGTCAGTACACACGCGTGGCGCGAAGTCCCCGTCGTCAGTGTGGGTGCGTGCGTGCGTGTGTATACGCGACCGTATGTGTGTGTAGTGTTTCCTTCACCGGGGATGGGGTTGATGCAGTTAATTAAGTTCCCGTGTGCACGTTTGTGCGCATGTTCGCGCTGGCAGTTCATTTCACACCACAGAACACCTCCACCAGACTACATGAGCCACGCCGTGGTCGTGTCCAAAGCCCTGTTGTCCAGGTTGTCAGATCAATGGCTTGTCCAATCTGCATGTCAGCTTGCTAGGGTGATCGGTTGACCAGTGATTTCCTACTAGGGCTGAAACGATATCCAGAAACTGCTTAACGATAGCACCTTTAGCCAAACAATCGACATATCGATATGACGATATTTTAAGCCGGTATCTGGCAGTAATTGTCCATCGTGGCTGGACCGGGACAGTAGTCTGCGCGCTGGGCCAGGGTACTGTCTGCACGCTGGGCCAGGGTACTGTAAAAGCAGAAATTTCCGGTGGTGTTTTATACTTTCATTTTCGGTAAGCTTCGGTGCCGAAATTTTCACCGAAAATAAAACGCACCGAAAATTGCGTTACTAGTACTAGTACACTTACCTGGAAAGCTGTTTACCAAAAATTTCCCTCCTCCGAACCGCCGGTTTTGGAGAATACCGAAAATAATTTATTACACCACCGAAATTTTCTGCTTTTACAGCACGCACTGACTGTCTACCCCCAGTGTACAATGAATGTAGTACAGTCAGACCGCGCACACATTCGTTTTCCACGAAAAAATTATCCGGATAGGCGAGGGAACCTGATAAGCGAACACACGTATGGCACGTCCTCTAATGCGAAGTTGAACTTGGTCGGATTCAATGTAATGCCGTGCTGCCGGCACCGTTGTAGAAGTACCCAGAGGTGGCGAACATGCTCTGGAAACGACTCGTCGTATGCTAGGATGTCATCGACGACTTTCTGTGTGTTGGCAACATCCGCCAAAGCTATATCGCCACGCCGACAGTACTCATCACCGGTGGACACCAGCCCCATGGGGGAGCGCAGGAACTTGTATCGGCCTCATGGTGTAATGAACGTTGTTAACATCTGGCACTCTTCTGCGAGTGGGACCTGCCAATAACCATGGGTGGCATCCAGAGTGCTGAAATAGCGGGCGGTGCGTGGTATTGCGGCGACTGCTTCTTTGGGAGTCTTCATGGGGTAGAATGCACGGTCCACATGCTTGTTCAGCTTTACCAAGTCCACGCGTATACGGATACCTCCATTCGACTTCGGCACCAGCACTAAGGGATGACACCATTGGGACGGTTCATCTCCTAGTGGTGAAATGACACCTTCTCGCTCCATGTCCGTCAATAACGACTTCACGGTGTCCCGATAGGCAAACGGGATAGTGCGTGCACTGTAAATAGCGTGGGGTACTGCATCAGACCGGATGTGAATCTTCATGGGTTCCCCTTCCACCACACGCAGGTGGTTCTCTGAAGAACACACATCGGAGAATTCCTGCATCAAATGCTCACGAATTGCAGTATGTTGAGCTGTGGATTGGCAAGCTGGTATGTCACGCAGTTTCTCTGGTAGGTCTGCCTGAGTGGCATCAACTGTAGCTTTCTAGATCTGAGGTTGCGCTGAACCCTCTTTGGAGATGGGCTCCGGATAGTTGAATGGGATGATTCCAAGATCCAGACAAGCATGCCATGAAAAAAGGCAGCCCTCAAAATCCTTACACACCAGGACACGCTGTGACGTAGATTTCTTGCCATAGCTGATTCTGAGCAGGAGCGTCCCTACACATTTCATCGCCGAGCCATTAGCCGCGAGAACGGAAGAAATACCAGGAGGACAGAGCTGTTCATCCTGGATGCCCAGAAATTCAAGGACAGCATACCCGAGAATGCTGGCATCTGCCCCTGTGTCCGGGGTAGCCTTGCAGTGCCCATACACCATGTACACCATGTCTGCTGTAGTGTGACTCAGAATGATCTGGACTTGAGGAGCTGGAGCATGCACAGTAGACGAGACATCTAGAACCTGGACGGAGTTCGCTTTTGGAGACTTGTCCTTAGATTTCTCACAGACTCTAGCGAAATGACCCCTGACTCCACAGTCGTTGCACGTCACCTTTCGTGCCGGACAAGGTCTGCCTTCCGGATGGGCAGGATGGCCGCAATATCGGCTTAATTTATTGTCGGCCGTCAGCTTGCTCACCGCAGGAAACGCTGCAGTACTGAGCTCGGCCGCGTTCTGTGTTGCAGCTTCTTGGCTGCGACACAAGTCAATCACCTGCTGACAGCTGGGAAATGGCGATAACGCCAACAACCTTTTCCGCACTTCCCCATCCCTGACGCCTGACATGAGCTTGGTAGCCATGCACTCATCACGGCACGTTGAGCACAAATCTGCGTTGGCAGCCAGCTTTTTCAGTGTGATGTAGAAATCGTCAAACGTCTCCCCGGGCTCCTGGCGGCGTTCTCCAAATGCTACTCGATCGAGAGCAATATTTCTGCGGCCACGCAAAAATTTATGGATGGTGTCCAACAGCTCTTCTACTGGACAGACATCTGATGTCTCGAACTGTAGAGCAAACTCTAAAGTCGATCTCATTTCTACTGACAAACAAGATCTTAGCAGGGCGCACTGTTCACGGGGAGTGAGACGATCCGGACGAATAAGAGTAGCGTAGTCGTTCCACAACGAACGCCACGACACAAAATCTAACAGAGGCACCGACGATTGCAGCGGAGGTGGTGGTGTGGCACTGGGTAATTTCGGAGGAGCAGACCGACACTCCTCGGCATCCCCAAGTGGCTCAGATACCTCGCTGCCCCGCGTATGGGGTCTACCCCCGCGTGGGGGCATTCAGAGCCGCCAGCAACTCGCGGTGTTCTTTCTTCCGACGACGGCTGTCCTCGACCATTTGTTCGAGAAACTCCTGCATCCATGCAGGTTGTCCGGTTCCTCCCAGCTCTCCTTGGCTGGTGAGGCCGCCGCCGCAGAACGTTTTTGCTTGCGTCCCGTTATTTATGGACTGTTCACTGCGCCATGTTATGTTCGTTCGAGCTCACATCAACAAACGACACTGGGGAGATCAAACTTGAGTTGTCACCAAGTAAACTAAAACAACAATGATTCGTCATCACCAAAAATGGTCACCTAACTCCAACCCAGATCTAGAACAGGTACGGTAGAGATTCCCCCAGGGCATTCTCCACACGTGACCCAATACAGATATTGTACACATACATCACAGTACTCTGTGTGTGCGCGTGTGTGTGTGTGTGTGTGTGTGTGTGTTTGTGCATGGCATATTCTGTAAATCGGTAACCAGTGATTTTCTTCCGGATGGCGAGGGATCCGGATAAAAGAGGACCGGATAAGCGAGGTCTGCCTGTACTGGACGTGTGTCATGCCAGTGGACAGTGCGGTGCGTTCGATTTATATACGCACTTGAATCGATTCGTGAATGGAATCACGCCGTTCGATTTCATGTCATGAGCCCTGGAATCGATTCGGAATCCATTCACCCTATTCACATGGGGTGATGTGAATAGCGCGAATCGATCCGCGGGCATAATCGAACGCACTCAGTGTGGTCGGAACCCGGTACACTGTTCACGTATCACTAGCAGTGCTGTTATAGTCAGACCTCGCATAACCTCACACATCCGTTTTCCACAAAAATATCCGGATAGGCGAGGGAACCGGATAATCGAACACACATACTGTATGTAAGCATGACATATGCTGTAAATCGGTAACCAACAATTTTCTTCCGGATGGTGAGGGATCCGAATAAAAGAGGACCGGATAAGCGAGGTCTGACTGTACTTGCATTCTAGCACCTAACACACATGCATGTATTATGTATATGGTGCAGTAGGTATATCGTTATATTGCTAGTGACAGCTGACGATAATCGATACCCATACTGACCAACCACCAAAGCCTCAATCCATTGACAAGACATGCAGAATGAATCCCTGGATTTCTGTCAAAATCCCTGGGTGGCACAAGAACAAGTGAAAAAGAGCTTTTCCCGCAAAAAAAAAAGTTTGACAGCATAGACTCTGCAGATATGCGTACAGCACAGTTCGACCCTGCAGTGCAGTTCGATCAGTCGGCGCCCGCCTGTCAGTGCAGATCTTGCATGCATGCAGGCTGGTCAGATCTTTGAAAAGTACTGTGCACAGTTCGAAGTGCGAAGTTCGAAGTACATAATTTTGAAGAAAAACAACCCTTGACATTCGAGGCGAATCCATGGAGTTTTCAGGAACATTCTGTGTCCGACAAAAATGTGACTTTTCCGGGAGTTTGCTTGTAATGCCCGAGACCCCGGGAGTAGTGTCGATTTTTCAGGATTTCCCCGGGGAAACCGGGAGGGTTGGCATGTATAGATACCTTTCTGAGCGATCAGCAAACGGTTAAAATCGATTATATCGTTCCGGCCCTATTTCCTACCATACATTTTGTGTGTGCGTCCCTTGGCGCACGTTTTGCGCACAGTTTTTGGACACGAGCTTTTAGAATCCACTCGTGCCCCAGCGGGTGTCTGATTGGGCTTGGGCCGAAATATTCCTGAGTGGAAGTAAGGCAGTCAGTGTTTGTAAGCAAGTCAGGGGATTGCCTGGGAAATACCCTTGTTGACCAATGATCTTGCTTCATGGGTGGGTAACTTCTTCTCAGTCGGACTTTGTGAACTGTTCAGTTGTCAAACCCAGTGAGAAATTTTGAGCACAAATGCTGTTTCCGTCAGCTCTGCAAACTCACAACCCAGTACACTGGATCAGATTCCACAATAACGTTTGCAGCAAATTGCCATCATCAGGTTGCTTATAATTATGGTGGTCTATTGACACCAGATTCCCTGAGTTAAGCATGCAGGGATCAACCTGACTGTCAGAGGTAGCATCCTCATTACCAGCGTCTGTAAACTGCAAGGGGGAGAGAGAGAGAGAGAGAGAGAGAGAGAGAGAGAGAGAGAGAGAGAGAGAGAGAGAGGGCAAACCGCAAATTGCAGGAGGCGGTAGAGATTAGATTTGAAGAACACCAGCGCTCACTGCTCTGAAATGTACACTAAACTTATTTCCCAGCTGGCAATGTATTCTTATCCGGTCCTCTTTTATCCGGATCCCTCGCCATCCGGAAGAAAATCGCTGGTTACCGATTCACAGCATGTGTCATGCATACATACAGCGTGTGTGTGTTCGCTTATCCGCTTCCCTCACCTATCCGGATATTTTTTTGTGGAAAATGGATGTGTGCGGTTAAGCGAGGTCTGACTTTACATGCACCGTAGTTCACGTAAATCAACACACTGTAACAATGGGCCTCCTGTTCGGTTCACTGAACCATAGCTTGTCTTGCTCTGTTTTGTGTGTGCTTGTTCTGACCAGACCTTGACGTCGTCAGCCGAGGAGACGCGGCGACAGTTGGAGCATGCATCGCAGAACATACCAGCGCATCTGCCAGACTTCAGTGCCAGGTGTGTCTCAGCTTTGGTTGTGTGTGTGTGTGCGTATGTGTGTGTGCATGCGTGCGTGTGTGTGTGCATGTGTGTGTGTGTGTGTGTGTGTGTGTGTGTGTGTGTGTGTGTGTGTGTGTGTGTGTGTGTGAGAGAGAGAGAGAGAGAGAGAGAGAGAGAGAGAGAGAGAGAGAGAGAGAGAGAGAGAGAGAGAGAGAGAGAGAGAGAGAGAGAGAGAGAGAGAGAGAGAGTGGTGGTGTGTGCACGCACGTGTGCATGGGTCTGTGTGCGTGCATGCTGTTGTAGCATCTACAACCTGCCTACAAAACCATCATCAAATCAAAAATCCAACTCGTCAATTCTTTGCTCTTTGCTGGTTGCAGAGGAGGCGCTTCATCCAGTGGCAACTCCACCGCCAACGTGTCCAAGACGTCCAGTGTGTCGTCCATGCACGGCAGTGAGGCTTCGTCAACCACCAGCAGTGTCGCCGTCGACAATCGCCAACCGCAGGCGCCTCATCCCGCCATAGGTACAGTGGGTGCCTTGCTGCTGTGCTCGATCTGAAAGTAAAATCCAAAGTCTTGCATGTCAGGCTTTTCCTTGTTCTCGATGGTGACAGGTGCAGTCTGCTCGCGATAAGTCGCTCGCCCTGTCTTGAAAACAAAAATGGGTGACTTATCGTGAGTGTGTGACTTTCATACTAGTGTCAAGAGTATATAGCCCCCCAGGAGGGGGTTATAATTACACTCTTGCTAGTATCCGTATACAAAAGTATATGCCGTCCAAATTGCAAAAGTGCACTTATCGCGAGTACGTGACTTAACAGTGCGTGGCTTGTCGCGAGTAGACTGTACAGTGGCTGGCGAGTGAAATCCAGCCCTTGGTGTTGTGCGGCTGGGCAAGTACTGACCTGGTGCATGCATGGTGAAAGGCATGCACAGAGCGACCACGGCCGTTCAAGCACCGATCTGCACAAAGCCAGGGGGTTGGATTTCACTCGCCAGCCACTGTAAGGAGTGTGTACATCCAATCCTGTCCGTTGCACAGTCAGCAGGGAGGTTAAGTCCCACGTAACGGATACGGGAACGTGGGGGATGTACGTGAAGTTCATGCAATGGACCCACGTTCGCAATGTTGTTTTTAGTTGTTGTTGTTGAAATTTAATTTTGTATCGCAGACCAAGCGGGCAATGATGCCCAATATTATGATGGCGATAAAGTAACGGCCAAAAGCCAAGGATACAACAAGCAAGCCTCCACGAAAGAGAGAAAAACAGAGACAAATACTCAAAAAGAGAAAGAGAAAGGAAAAATAGTCACACGGAACAAACAAAAGCATGAAGCGAAATGCCCAAACTTGGTCAAAGACGAAACTTCGAAGCTCATCAAATATTTTGATTTCGTGCTTCAGAAGCTTCTTCAGCCGTCCACCCTCGCAGCTTGCACAATGCGCTCCATTCTGATTTTCACCCATGTTCTGGCGGAACGTGTGTGAGCCTCCATACACGGTATGTCGTGAATCAGAAAACGGCTGTATGTGGGTCACTGAGTATCACGTGGTACACACACGTAAAGTACACACAGACTACGTGGGACTAAACATCCCTAGTGCTGGGGAGACAATCACATCAGTGGCTGTGCACAGCTCATAGTCTCTTGTCTCTCTGTTGCTGGATTGCAGGAGATATGTCTGCGGCATCACGCAAGGTATCGGCAGCTACCGCCCATGCTCATTCTTTACCGGCACTGACGTACATCACGTTAGCTGAGTTCAATGACGTGCCAAAGTGAGACATTCTGTGAAGTGATGTTCCTGCTGTGTCTGCTGCAGCTGCTGCTACTGCTGCTCTCTCTGTGTGACTCTGTGTGTGTGTGTGTGTGTGTGTGTGTGTGTGTGTGTGTGTGTGTGTGTGTGTGTGTGTGTGTGTGTGTGTGTGTGTGTGTGTGTGTGTGTGTGTGTCTCTCTCTCTCTCTCTCTCTCTCTCTCTCTGTCTCTCTCTCTCTCTCTCTCTCTCTCTCTCTCACTCACGCACTCGCTCTCCTGCCCTGTTAATTCCTCTTTCTGGGCTTGCCTTTACCACTTCTGTTTCATAACTTTCATTTTTTCCCCTATTGAGCACTCTGTGCGCAGAGAGGACTTGGACTTGACCTACCTGGTAGACCCCCCTCTCAGGTTGAGCACTTTCCCCTACCTGTTCACTGCAAGATGGCCCGGAATGTCCGCAACGGGTCGATTTGGATCATGATCGCGCAAGCCCGAAACTCTTAGTTGCAATAATATTCTGTTCCATCTTACTTGTAAAGAGGCTCTGCTCTTTTTGGGCATTGAGCACTTTGTGTGCATTAATTAACCTACTGCCGTGGACATGGAAATCCGGTCGCACGACTAGCGGCCCCAGGGTGCTGGCCATGCAGCCGTGAGTATGCGGTACACACATGCATTTTATGCGCTGCAGCGCGCTAGTCGCATCGGATCGACATGTGCCCTGCACGCAGCGTTCTGTACGCGCCGAGGGCGCCGGCCCCAGTCAATCAACTAGATTTCCATGTCCACGACAGTGCTTTGGTTGTGTTTCTACCGTATTTGATTCAGGTACATTCGAGGTCGGCTGGCCTATGACTCAGTCAACATGGCAGTGGAATGCCTAAATCAGGCGTACTCATTCAAGTATCAGCTGATCGCAGTGCCAAAGTCGCAACTCACGGACGCCGAGATCAAGAAGAGAAAAGCGTACAGGGCGCAAGAAATGAAGGACGTTGAAGGTGAGGAGAGCATCCTGCAGTTCTGCGCTGCTGGCCCAGGACACGCATGCGTGCGCATGCCCCCCCCCCCCCCCCCCACACACACACACACACGCTCGCTCGTGCACATGTACCGCGGGCCGACAAATACCCCGACTACAAACCCAGCCATCACTCCACACACACAGACAGTCACACAGAGAGGAAATTTTGAGTCGACTTCCAGGCAGCAAAGCCTGGCCTTGTCCAACGAGCCAACCATCGCCTGGGTAGAGTCACACTCATTCTGCTCGGGCACGTAGCACAGCTGTTGGAGGTGGTTGGGTCGGAGGGGGTGCGGGGTCTCCACCGTGAAAATTTTGAAATTCGGGTGCAAGGTCTTGCATTCTGGGCACTTTTGGCATTGTGTTTTTTTTTTAACCGTGGTCCGGCCAAATCCGGACCGGTTGCTACGCCCCTGCTGCTGCAGTGCTGTACACTCGTATCCCTCTTATCCGGAGGCGGTCTTTTTGGCAAAAGAGTAGTAACATTTCGACTAGAACTCACCCCCAGGGTGCGAGGTGGTCGTCCGTACCTTAGAGGTCCGTGCAAGAGAGATGTGAGCGCATTGCGTTTGGGGTTTTTATTTGGGGGTTTTATTTGGGGTTTTATTTGGGTTTTTTTGCACCGGTCAAGCCTCTTTTAGGGGCAAAAATTAACACAATGGATTAAAATGCAATACAACATACAATGGAGAAGAAATGAGGAAAATGCATGTGTAAAGTGCATGGTGTTTACTGGTTTCAGGGTGGGGAGGAGGGATACTGTATACCGGGAAACGTTTGTGGCGTGAAACTTCAGCGTTTTAAAAAACGCCCCTGTTAACGAGCGGCAATTTTAGCGATTTGGTCTTTTCAAGTGGTACTAGTGCATGTACTTCCGTTCAAATTCTTCAGTTCGCGGCGATTCTAATTCGCGTTTTGACGGTGATCGCGAAACTCGCGAAAATTATCCGCTCGCGAAAGTTTCCCGGTTTACAGTAGATCAGATCCAGCAACCAGAGGTCAAAGGCCGAAATCCATGTGTGTTTACATACTCAGTACCTGAAATGTGTATGTGTGTGTGTGTGTGTGTTTGTGTGTGTGTGTGTGTGTGTGTGTGTGTGTGTGTGTATGTGCGCGCGTGTGTGTGCGTGTTTCCCGTGTGTTGTGGTGGCGGTGGTGTGTGTGCCCGTGTGTTCCCGGCTGTGTGCATGTATGTGTGTGCCCGTTTGTGTGCATGTGTGTGTGTGTGTGCGTGTGTGTGCGGGCGGCATGCATGCACGTATCCACATGTACGAAATTTGCTGATTGTTGCAGGCAAGCATTTCATCACGGACCATGACATCCGCACGACCACTAGTTTCAAGGTGGACACGCAGGGCAGAGCCATCATAGCTCTGCTGCGGCATTGCAAGCGACTCAAGGAGGTGCACGGTGGAGGGTTCACACGCTACGTTATCTACGCATGATCTCCAAACGTACCCTCTAAGACATGTTCATCGCAGCGCTGCTCCCTGTGTATGGTAATGTTGAATAGCACACAGTCTTGGCTTAACCGAGCGCAGTGCCAAGGCACACGGCGTCCCCTGCGGCCCTCAGACGGGTCTATGGAGTGTGCATGGTGTAGTCGAAATGACAGATACGCGGGTTGGATTTCTTTGGCCACAACTGCACTTACTTGGACACCGTTTTGAAACGCTTCATTGCACTGTTGAGCAGGACCTGTCTACAGTAGTTCTAAAAGGCGCAATGTTTCACGATGATGGTTCAATGCGAATTGAATGCCATTGGCCACTATGTTTTATACTACGGAAACCTTCAGTATAGGCACTGTAAAGGTCATCTTAACCATACTCTTAACCATACACTTCTTAACCATACACAGATTGTGCGTGTTGTCGGCTGTAAGGGCACAGCAGTATCATTGTCACAACACGCACACTCTCACAATCTCTTACCCCACTTAACTTTCTCTGCGGTGGAATCTTTCTGGGCTGGTCTTTGCTGTTTCCGTTGTAACTTTACATCCGATTAGTGTGAATGCTGTTGCAAATTTAGCTTTTTTAACCGACTAACTACTACTTCGAAGTACACTCTGGATGTGGGGATGACATTTACAGGAATTCTGTATTATTTATGACTGGTAGATTTCGTGTTTGGAGAAGGGAGCACTTCCTCACACTATTTCTTCAACACTTCGTAAAATAGTCCAGAACTGCGGCTCATCCGACCGCCAAACACCAAGTAATTACTTTTACAGCCTGCTCAGCACAGCATTCCAGCTGTGATGGCTCGGACTGTGGGCTGTGCAACCTTTCGCCAATTCACACAAATGTTGAATGGGGATCGGAGTTGGTCACGTACATGTACAAGTCGGATCAGATCGAACTCAGGTAAGCATTCATTGATGGGGCCCAACTGGCCAGAAGCATCAAGTCAGTTTGGACATCCATACACCATTCTTCAACACTTCTTGTCTAGAACGTACAAGTGAAGTGAACTGAGAGTAGCAAATCACAAGAAAGAGGTGAAATTGAAATCTGAAAATCTATAGATTGAAATGTGCAATGCATATACAGTCGACCTGCCCTTATAACGATATTTGCGTCAGACCAAGAAATATTGTTATAAGGGTAATATTATTTATAGGGGTAACTGGTTCATTTCATACATACACGTCATAATGCATGGATTTTGTTCATTTTTTACACTCTTCCTAGCATGAAAAACTGACATACATGTACATTATGTACACAGCAAGGTGCCCACTGGTGCCCCCATTGCATTTCGTCATGTCCCAGCGACTTATCAAGTGAAGCTTGCCCTACCTGGATAGTGGGCTCTACATCTTCCCTGCTAGATATTGTTATAAAATGGAAAATGTTGATTGGTCAGGCCATTTTATATCGTTATAGGGGTAATATCGTTATAGCAATATTGTTATAAGGGTAGGGCATTGTATACAAAAGTCAATGGAGTGATTTGGTTTGGCAGAAAAATATCGTTATAAGGGTAATATCGTTATAGAGGTTTTTTTATAGGTAGGTCGACTGTAGTTGTAGTGGAAAAGATTCATAGCAAGCTGCAACGTTGAGCCAAAGTGGCAAATACATAGAGAGAGAGTGGAGGGAAATACAGGATGTAGGATGTATTGAGTGGATAAAGGGTGATATTATAGATCAGTAAACCTTTCAGTGCCCAATGCAATCAACTATCCACAATAGGAGCTAGAGGACATCGGGCGAAGTTTGAAAATTCTTCTGGCCTTTCTTTGACTTTACTTCGCAAAATCCAAACGGGAATTTCTGCCCACTAACAAGGCAGCGAAGAGGGAAGAAAGAAAAGAGAAAAAGTGTGTATGCACCGGAAGTGACTAGTCAGCTGGGATCAATAGTACAGATCCATTGTCAAACCTGGCATTTGCTACTATTTAACGTTACACACTCACTGTGATTTTTCCACAGCTCCGTGTAAGTTTCGGCAGCTCAATACCGTATTGACGACTCACTTCCAACGAGGTGTTTACGAGCGTACAAGTGAAGAAAATGCTGCAGTGGAGCTGGGGAGTTTTGAGGGAACATGTCGCTTCCTGAAGTCGAAAAAAAACAAAACAAGTCCAACATCTGCATTGCTAGTTATGCATAACAGATTTATACGCCAACACAGGTTTTGGCTGTTCAGTTATTGCCCAGACCGCAGGTTACAGGAACACAACCAAGCGATGTCCTCTGTGCCTAAGGGAGAACCTAGAGACCTCTGCAGGCGCACAAGCGTGTAAATATCAACAACAGATCGGAGCTAGTCAGCATGTGCCGGCATGAAAATAAGAGAAATTCTCGCCATCACGTAAACTGTTCACGCCTCGCAGGTGAGGCGCTGCTCATGATCGTCCCACTGCCGTCCTCTTCGCATCCCTCAAAAACTTGGACCTTGTGAACCTAAGCCTTAGGCAGGCCCACCGGAACCCGTCCAGTTGGTCAGGTTAACACCGGACCAACTTTGTAGCTAGCAACGCTGAGGAGGGCCTACGTCGCCGCCACATTATACACAAACTGTATGAAAGACTATGGTACGACCGGACCAATTGAAGCAAATCCCTATCTAGTAGGGCGCAGTCACCCAGTATCGGTGGAAGTGCGCGAGTTCGATTGGGAATATTTCCGAATAAAGGAGAAAGGGAGCATCTCAGCTTCCTCGGACCAAGACCATTCGACTCCGCACCCCAAAGACTACAACTGGTTAAAATTTGATCTTAGGGTATACTTCCCCTTTAATACTGATGCCGAGAATCAGACTGGAGAGGAGACGCACGAGTACGAGTTCCCAAAATTTCATCATCGTAATTATTTGTTTAATTCTGGTGGACTAACAGAGATTAGCGAGCTGATTATGAAACTGCAATACGATTTGGGGGTCCAATATCCGATACTAGTGAAATCCAAACACTGGAATTTGTAGGGAAAATAGGAACATTTGCCGGGCCTCTAGATCATCGTAAAAACCATGGGACAACTTTGTTTTGTTATTTCACACAATGATTTGAAAAAGCAATATCTACACATCCACCGAATTTGAAAATACATTGATGAAACGTGGCTAAAATTGTCCCCAACCTCCGCTGAACTTTCCACCACTAGATAATAGTCATTGCCCCTCTTTTACAAACACCTCCTATGGGACAACAATTTTTTGTTCATTTCACAGAATGATTTGAAAATACAGGTGGAATCCTGGTAATTCGAACCTCAGAATGCCAGGAAAAAGCTTCTAATTATCCGGACATTCTAATTATCCAAACATGAACCCACAACACAATATGTCTGTCAAAATGCTCTCATGGTCACGCAGAGTTGCGCTAGGGACCTACGACACTGATTTCACGGATACTGAACTAACCGGCACAGCCTGCTCATGCCAACTGAACTGACCAGTACAGTGTACTGTGAACTTCGAATTACACTTTGCTAACTTCGAATTACACTTTGCTAACTTCGAATTACACTTTGCTAACTTCGAATTACACTTTGCTAACTTCGAATTACACTTTGCTAACTTCGAATTACACTTTGCTAACTTCGAATTACAAATCCCACACATGTTATATGTAAGTCAAGTGGAATCTGTGGGACTTCTAATTATCCGGACATGTCCAGTTCGAGGTTCGAATTATCAGAAAATTTTATGTGGGAATCGTATTGATAGAAATCGGTCCTGGAAAACTTCTAATTTTAAACGATATGTTCGAATTAAGCCACGAAATATCAGGATTCCACCGGTACAATACCTACACATCCACCGAATATGCAGAGAAAAATACTATCGTATTTACATTTACTAACGTATTTTTCAGGGGACAATTTTAGCCAAGTCTCATTGAAATGAAAACTTGGGTCCCCAACCTCCACTCAACTTTCCACCACTAGAATTTTAGTCCATGCCCGGCCTCTTTTACAAACACCTCCAATCAACAAGGTTCCGACACCGAAAGAAATTCCAACTTAAAGTACAGCTGTGAGATTGCTGTGTGCAGAGTTTCCAGTGCTACAGCCCGACACCAGCATAACAGCACGGCCACAACTTCTCAGCAGGCGTTTGGATCACTTGCAATCTAGTTGGGACTACACCCACAGCGGCACATTGTCCCCGTCGATTGCCACCGTTTGAATAAACCACATCTTGATTCAGCTTATCAATAAACTGTTGAACGGTACCTTTCGGCTGTTGAATAATATGCTTGATTCAGCTTGTCCAACTTATTGCCATTCAAAGATTGTTGCCTCCGCAGAGTCACCGTTTAGACGACAGAGAAATTTCCACACATGTTAAAATAGGTAAGAATGGATGCCTTGTGTGTCATTGCCGCTCCATCTTTGATGTTGAGCACCCATTTCGCAGCTGTAGGACCAGATCTGTTAGGTTCACAAGTTCACTGACGTATGCACGCACTCTCGCACCAACGACCGGTCGACCTCCAACGACCTTTCTCACACATACCACACGCACTCATACACACGGCATGCACCCTTTCCCGCTTCACACCTACAACTTCTCGCACTCCCGTATTATTCATTTGGCCTGGGTAGCTACATTCGCGCTCTCGTACATCCATTGCCATGGCTACCCAGGCCCTTCATAGCCTTGTGTTTTGCTCGCCTTTTCGCTCTCACTGTACCGACTGACGATCTTGGCTCGAACCAAGAGTCCATAACCCCCCTCTCGAACTCGTTCGCTCCGTCTGCTGTCCCGCCGTCCGTTGTGTTTGGAGAAGTGGGTCTAAGATATATTCAACATTGGCGCCCAACTTCCGCTCGAACCCACAACCCTATTCCGTAAGTACCTCTAATTAGCTAGCCGTATTGTGTTTCCTTGCGTTTCGGTTCGCCTCGGGTAGACTTCGTTCGTGTTGCATCTTACTCGGTAATCGAGTCTAGGTAGAATACCCGGACACCGTTGTCCATCACAAAGACTCGTAGAAGGAAACAGGGTCCTACATAAACGGCGTTGTGGATTCGCAAGCCGGTTGCGCGTTCCCGCACACTGCCACCATTTAGTTGCAAAAACAAAGAAATCTATCAGTGGCGACTGGCTGCAGTCCAATCAAGAGCCCATTTAGTTATTTAAAGCAGGTACTCTGCGACTCGTGTGGCACAGTGCTCCTGTGGGCATCGAGTACTCTATCGAACCAGAGGACTCCGCTCTCTGAAGAACACATATGTGCAAGGAACGGATGAGAAGCTGTGGTATATTGATCCATACCAAACACTAACTTACTATGACTCTGGTGAGAAGTATCAGGAAGAGCCCGAGTTCACCAGTATCTTGGCTACTGTCACAGACAGAATACGGATGGTGTTCGACACAGTCGTCAGTGAGCTGTCAGGGACGTCGAGGTAAGATAAACGAGTAACGAGTGCCCCACTATCCGAGTTGCTAAGCGGAACCTGGAGTGACATTTGCTTCAGCCATGCATTTAGAGTGTTTGTACTAATCTAGCTTGGTAATAGGGCACAGTGCTGTGACACACTGCTGGGAAAGAGGTTGGAGCGACCCCAGGATCAGCTTCAAGTTCATGGAATGTCTCAGCTGCCAGGCACGGGACACGCTTTTTCTTCAAACTTTCAGCCCCATCAGGCCCATGTTCTGGTTTTCAATGCCCCCACAACTAATTTAGGCGATACTTAATTACTTATAGCAAGAGTACATAACCCCAAGAGTGTGCAACTGCCTGCACAACCTCTATGCTG